CTTTTCCTTGTTGTTTTTTTTGTTTTTCCTTGATTTCTGTTCCTTTTGCCAGGAGCAGGAATGGGTGTGGATGGCTCCAGACGTGTTTTCCCCTTGTTCTGCTTTTCCCTTATTTCAGCTGAGATTCCCAGAGTTTTGCTGAGTGGGAAAGGATGGAAAAATCCCAGGAAAAGGCGCTGGGTTCAGTCCGTGCAGGGAGATGCAACCCCGAGATTCCAGCCGGGAACAGCCCAGCTCTGGAAGGGTTTTGGGTGATATTCCAGGATTTGGGAATCACGCAGGGATGGGAAAATCCCTAAATTCCCACCCCGAGCATCCCATCCTGCAGGAGGCTGAGGGTGGAGGGAGGTGAAACACAGCCGGGAAAAAAATGGAATTTTGGGGTGGGAGGAAACTTCATCCCGAGTCGTTCGGGATCTCATGGGAAAATCCCTGTTCCCAAATCTCCATCGCCTTTTCCAAGAAAAATCAAATCCTGGGATATCCTCAGGTTGAAATGGTCAAATGTGGGGTTTGGGGCTGGAGGAAAGGAGAATTTGGGCTCCTGGATGATCCCATGTGGAGGTTGAGTGCCTGGAATGGGTTTTCATCCCTTGATCCTGCAGGAAAAGCTTTCCCTGGATCATCCCATGGCTGCTCCTCTTCCTCCCCCATCCGGATCCAGGGAGAGGTGGGGGGATGGATTTGGGGTTTTGGGAAGGGGGAAAATGGAGCAGCTCCCTGAAATCCCGAGGGAGGATTGGCACGGCCGAATCTCCCTCGGGAAGGGGGAAAAGGGAAGATCCAGGGAATGAAGCTCCCAAATTTCTCCCCTTTCCCATGGATAGCAAAGAGCAGAGTTAAGGGAATAAATCTGTCCAAAATTCCCACTCTGAGGAACAGCAAAGGGCAAATTTAAGGGGGAAAGACCTTCCCAAAATTCCATCTCTAAGGGAATGAAAAAGGCAGAATTTAGGGAATAAAACTTCCAAAAAATCCCTCTCCAAAGAATGGAAAGAGGCAGAATTTAGGGGAAAAAATAATTCCCAAATCTTCCTCTCCAAGAGACAGCAAAGGACAAAGTTAAGGGAAAAAGACCTTCCCAAAATTCCCTCTCCAAGGAAGGGAAAGAGGCAGAATTTAGAGGATGAAATTTCCCAAACCTCTCCCTCTCTGGACAATAAAGAGCAGAGTTAAGGGAATAAACCTGCCCAAAATTCCCACTCTGAGGAACAGCAAAGGGGAAATTTAAGGGGAAAAGACCTTCCCAAAATTCCCTCTCCAAGGGATGGAAAAAGGCAGAATTCCCAAAATTCCCTCTCCAAGGGATGGAAAAAGGCAGAATTTAGGGAATAAAACTTCCCAAAATTCCCTCTCCAAGGGATGGAAAAAGGCAGAATTCCCAAAATTCCCTCTCCAAGGAATGGCAAAAGGCAGAATTTAGGGGATAAAACTTCCCAAAATTCCCTCTCCAAGGAATGAAAAGAGGCAGAATTTATGGAATAAAACTTCCCAAATCTCTCCCTCTATGGACAATAAAGGGCAGAGTTAATGGGAATAAAACTGTCCAAAATTCCCACTCTGAGGAACAGCAAAGGGCAAATTTAAGGGGAAAAGACCTTCCCAAAATTCCCTCTCCAAGGAATGGCAAAAGGCAGAATTTAGGGAATAAAACTTCCCAAAATTCCCTCTCCAAGGAATGAAAAGAGGCAGAATTTAGGGAATAAAATTTCCCACATCTCTCCCTCTCTGGACAATAAAGGGCAGAGTTAATGGGAATAAACTGGAATTCCCTCTCCAAGGAATAGAAAGAGGCAGAATTTAGGAGATAAAACTTCCCAAAATTCCCCATCCACAGACAGGGAAGGGCAATGGATGGGATTCCCATGGGAATGAAATCCGCCCCCAGCCCCAAAATCAGGGATGGAATTCCCATGGGAATGAAATCCTTCCCCAATCCCAAAATCAGGGATGGAATTCCCATGGGAATGAAATCCACCCCCAGTCCCAAAATCAGGGATGGAATTCCCATGGGAATGAAATCCACCCCCAGTCCCAAAATCAGGGATGGAATTCCCATGGGAATGAAATCCGCTCCCAGTCCCAAAATCAGGGATGGAATTCCCATGGGAATGAAATCCTTCCCCAGTCCCAAAATCAGGGATGGAATTCCCATGGGAATGAAATCCATCCCCAGTCCCAAAATCAGGGATGGAATTCCAGCCCCGCCAGCCCTGGGACTGTTCCCAGCCTGGAATTGCCGTGCGAGGCGCTGGCCACGAGATGGGGCCAGAAGATTGGGAATGCCAGCAGGATTCCAGGGAATTCCAGGATTTTGGGAATGCCAGCAGGATTCCAGGCGCTTGGAGAGCCCGCCTGGCCTCGGGGCTGGCTGGGGACATTTTTCCACACTGGGAATGGGCAAAAAGCGCCGCAGGAGATCCTTGGTGGCTTTTTGGAGAGGTCAGGTGGGAATAAAGGGAGATGGGGAAGGTTTGTGGAGCAGGAAATTGTCCAGGGATTTACGGTGCCCAAAAATGGGCCAAAAAGACCCCAAAAAGACCCCCAAAAATGGGCCAAAAAGACCCCAAAAAGACCCCAAAAAGACCCCCAAAAATGGGCCAAAAAGACCCCAAAAAGACCCCCAAAAAGACCCCAAAAAGACCCCCAAAAATGGGCCAAAAAGACCCCAAAAATGTCAAATCCTCCTCTCCTTGGAAGTTCCATGAAAGAAATGTCAAATTCTCCTCTCCATGGAAGCTCCACAAAGCAAAGGTCAAATCCTCTCATCCATGGAAGCTCCATGGAAGTTCCATGGAAGTAAAGGCCAAATTCTCCTCTCCATGGAAGTTCCATGAAGGAAGGGCCAAATCCTCCTCTCCATGGAAATTCCATGAAGGTCAAATTCCAGGAACGGTCAACTTCTCCTTTCCATGGAAGCTCCATGGAAGTTCCATAGAAGTCCCATGGAAGCAAAGGCCAAATCCTCCCCTCTGTGGAAACTCCATGGAAGTTCCATGAAGGAAAGGCCAAATCCTTCTCTCCGTGGAAATTCCATGGAAATTCCATGAAGGAAAGGCCAAATCCTTCTCTCCGTGGAAATTCCATGAAGGAACGGTCAAATCCTCCTCTCCATGGAAGTTCCATGAAGGAAAGGCCAAATCCTCTCATCCATGGAAGCTCCATGGAAGTTCCACGAAGGAAAGGCCAAATCCTCTCATCTATGGAAGTTCCATGGAAGCAAAGACCAAACCCTCACCTCCATGGAAGCTCTGTGGAAATTCCATGGAAACTCCATGAAGGAAACACTGAATCCTCCTCTCCATGGAAATTCCATGAAGGAACAGTCAAATTCTCCTCTCCATGGAAGTTCCATGAAGGAAAGGCCAAATCCTCCTCTCCATGGAAGCTCCACAAAGCAAAGGTCAAATCCTCTCATCCATGGAAGTTCCATGAAAGTTCCATGGAAGTAAAGGCCAAATTCTCCTCTCCATGGAAATTCCATGAAGGTCAAATTTCCGGAATGGTCAACCTCTCCTTTCCATGGAAGTTCCATGGAAGTTCCATAGAAGTCCCATGGAAGCAAAGGCCAAATCCTCCCCTCCATGGAAACTCCATGGAAGTTCCATGAAGGAAAGGCCAAATCCTCTCCATGGAAGTTCCATGGAAGCAAAGGCCAAACCCTCACCTCCATGGAAGCTCTGTGGAAATTCCATGGAAACTCCACGAAGGAAAGGTCAAATCCTCCTCTCCATGGAAGTTCCATGAAGGAAAGGCCAAATCCTCCTCTTCATGGAAGTTCCATGGAAGCAAAGGCCAAATCCTCCTCTCCATGGAAATTCCATGAAGGAAAGGCCAAATCGTCTCATCCATGGAAGCTCCATGGAAGTTCCATGAAGGAAAAGCCAAATCCTCTCATCTATGGAAGTTCCATGGAAGCAAAGGCCAAACCCTCACCTCCATGGAAGATCTGTGGAAATTCCATGGAAACTCCACGAAGGAAAGGCCAAATCCTTCTCTCCGTGGAAATTCCATGAAGGAACGGTCAAATCCTCCTCTCCATGGAAGTTCCATGGAAGCAAAGGCCAAATCCTCCTTTCCATGGAAATTCCATGAAGGAAAGGCCAAATCGTCTCATCCATGGAAGTTCCATGGAAGTTCCATGAAGGAAAAGCCAAATCCTCTCATCTATGGAAGTTCCATGGAAGCAAAGACCAAACCCTCACCTCCATGGAAGCTCTGTGGAAATTCCATGGAAACTCCACGAAGGAAAGGCCAAATCCTTTTCTCCATGGAAATTCCATGAAGGAACAGTCAAATCCTCTCATCCATGGAAGTTCCATGGAAGCAAAGGCCAAATCCTCCTTTCCATGGAAATTCCATGAAGGAAAGAACAAATTGTCTCATCCATGGAAGTTCCATGGAAGCAAAGGCCAAATCCTCCTCTCCATGGAAGCTCTGTGGAAGCTCCATGGAAGTTCCATGAAGGAAAGGCCAAATCCTCTCATCCATGGAAGCTCCATGGAAGTTCCATGAAGGAAATGTCAAATCCTCCTCTCCGTGGAAATTCCATGAAGGAACGGTCAAATTCTCCTCTCCATGGGAGTTCCATGAAGGAAAGGCCAAATCCTCTCATCCATGGAAGCTCCATGGAAGTTCCATGAAGGAAATGTCAAATCCTCCTCTCTGTGGAAATTCCATGAAGGAAAGGTCAAATTCTCCTCTCCATGGAAGTTCCATGGAAGCTCCATGGAAGCTCCATGGAAGTTCCATGGAAGTTCCATGGAAGCTCCATGGAAGTGAAGCTCCTTGGACATCCCACCTCCCACCAGCACCCCAAACCAAGGGCTGGGGGTTGCATCCCAAGGAAGCTCCTTCCCACCTGTCCCAACCTTTGGATGGGAGCTGGGAGGCGACTCCAAGAGGGCAGGAAGGGGAGTTCAGGGATCGGGACCTCCCCAGGTCCCACGGGAAGCTCACGTCCCTCTCTGCCCTCCCCCGGGTGTCTCCACGGCCAGGTCACCGCCATGTCCCACCCCAGGCTGCTGCTGCTCCTCATCCTGCTCGGAGCCACCGGGACCGGCCGGGCCCTGAGCCTCTCCAACGCCGCCTCCATCTTCAGCTGCCTCAACGCCGCCCTGTCGGAAGCGCGGCAGATCCTTCCCGAGGAGAACGCCGTCCTGGAGAAGCGCGGCTCAGAGTCACCATCGCTGGAGGAGGCATCTGAGGAGGATGGGGAGGAGGAAGAGTTGGGGAAAAGGACATTCCCGGGGGACAGCCACTACAAACACGCGCCCCAAGGGAAGGGCAAGACCTACCAGAACCGGCCCAAGAGCGACCGGCGCACCAAGGTCACGCTGTCCCTCGATGTCCCCACCAACATCATGAACATCCTCTTCAACATCGCCAAGGCCAAGAACTTGCGGGCCAAGGCGGCGGCCAACGCCCACCTCATGGCCCAGATCGGGCGGAGGAAGTGACGGGGCCACCGCCGGAGGGGACTGATGGCCGGGTGTGACACCAGCGCCGTCTGGCTTTGACCCATCCAGTGACCTCATGTCCATGTCCCTTCTCCTCCCCTCTCTCCTCCCCGCTCTCCCCACGTTCCTTCCGGACATTTCCACGCGCAGGGAAGAGGTTCCTGTCCCCAGCAGGGCGTGGGGGACGCGTCACCCGGGAAGGTTCCTGATTAAAGCCGCCATCTCTGGAGTTTCCAATGCTTTGTTGTCCCATCTCCTGCCCCACCTGCTCCTTTGGGTCCGTAGGGATTCCGAAACCTCGTGGCCCCGTCCCCACCACGGCCCTCCCAGATCCCACCACGAGCTGGTCCTGCCACGGCCACCGACCCACCGGGAAGGGAAAAGCACAGGGACAACCTCAGGATGGATTTCCCAGCTCCTCCTCCTGGGTCTTCCCTGAGTTTGTCACCAGCACCTTCAGCATCAACTTCCCACCCACACGGCCCTGATGGGACCTGTCCAGAGCCACCAATATGGCCCCAGTGTCCCCTGATGGGTCCTGGCCATTGTCACCCACATAGTCCCAGTGTCCCCTGATGGTTCCTGGCCAGAGCCACCCATGTGGCCCTGGAGTCTCCAGATGGACCCTGGCCATTGTCACCCACACAGCCTTGGTGTCTCCAGATGAGTCCAGACAGGGCCACCCACACAGTCCTGGTGTCCCCAGATGGGTCCTGGCCATTGTCACCCACATGGCACCAGTGTCCCCTGATGGGTTCTGGTCATTGTCACCCACACATCCCCAGTGTCCCCTGAGGGGTTCTGGTCATTGTCACCCACACAGCCCCAGTGTCCCCAGATGTGTCATGGCCAGGGCCACCCACATGGCACCATTGTCCCCTGATGGGCCCTGGCCAGAGCCACTGATATGGCCCTGGTGTCCCCCAGATAGGTCCTGGTCATTGTCACCCACACAGCCTTGGTGTCCCCAGATAAGTCCGGTCAGGGCCACCCACATGGCCCCAGAGTCCCCTGATGGACCCTGGCCATTGTCACCTACACAGCCCCAGTGTCCCCTGACGGGCTCTGGCCATTGTCACCCACACAGCCTTGGTGTCCCCTGATGGTTCCTGGCCAGAGCCACTGATATGGCCCTGGTGTCCTCCAGATAGGTCCTGGTCATTGTCACCCACACAGATTCGGTGTCTCCAGATGAGTCCAGCCAGGGCCACCCACACAGTCCTGGTGTCCCCAGATGGGTCCTGGCCATTGTCACCCACACAGCCTTGATGTCCCCTGATGGTTCCTGGACAGAGCCACCAACGTGGTCCTGGTGTCCCCCAGATAGGTCCTGGTCATTGTCACCCACACAGACTTGGTGTCCCCAGATGAGTCCGGCCAGGGCCACCCCACAGCCTCAGGCATGTTTGGATCCCAGGACCTGCAGGTACCTCTGTGGCTGCTCCAAACCCACCCAAGGTCCCACCACAAATTCCCACCTGTCCCCTCCCATTTCCCCACGGTTCCGTTTTCCGGCTGGCGCAGATCCAGCTCCTCATCCTCAGTCCATCCGTGCCCACCCCGCTCCATGCAGCAGGTTTGGGAGGTGGAGAGAAATTCGGGGAAGAAATTTGGGAAATAAACTTGGCCCTTCTTCCCCAGGAGGTGCTCACCAAGAGGAGAAACTGAGATCCCACCAGCCCCATCCAGGGCACGTCCATGGGGATGTTCCAGGTGGGATCCACGGGACAGCCAGAGGGTTGGAAATGTCCTGGAGAGCCATCAGAGGGACAATGACCTCCTGCCTCAGCTCCAGGGCTGCACAGGAGGGGGTCTCTTCCCACCACAATCCGCTGGAATCTTGGATTATATGGATTTTTATAGCCCAGCAAATTCCCACCCAGCAGGGTGGGATTGTCCCCATTTTCCATGCGGGGAAACTGAGGCACGGGAAGAACCTGCTCCGTGTCCAGTTGGCTTTGTTGGGATTGTGGGATGTCTGGGTGTCCCCAGATGTTCCAGGCTCAGAAGATCCTTGGGAAGAGGGACAGAGGGATTTGCCCAGTGGGAATTCCAAAGGTCGCCTGCCCAGAGCTCCCACGGGATCTTTGCTCTCCAAGGAAGGAAATTCCCAGGGAAGTGGGAAGGGATCTGCTGGTTCCAGGCACTGCTGAGGCAGGGACAGCTCTTATCAGCTGGGGAAGGCTCTTATCAGCTCTTATCAGCTGGGGAAGGCTCTTATCAGCTCTTATCAGCTGATAAGGAGTGGTGGAAAAGGCCGGGATCTTCCCACCCACACCTGGCACCTGGACAAACGGATCCTTCCCAAATTCACCCTTCCCAAATTGATCCTTCCCAAAGGAATCCTTCCCAAATTGATCCTTCCCAAATCCAGCTTTCCCAAATTGATCCTTCCCAAATTGACTCTTCCCAAATAGACCCTTCTGAAGTTAATCCTTCCCACCTTCACCATTCCCAAATTGATCCCTCTCAAAGGAATCCTTCCCAGTTTGACTCTTCTCAAATGGACCCTTCTGAAATTAATCCTTCCCAAATTGATCCTTCCCAAATTAACCCTTCCCAAATTGATTCTTCCCAAAGGAATCCTTCCCAAATTGACTCTTCTCAAATGGACCCTGCTGAAATTAATCCTTCCCAAATCCAGCTTTTCCAAATTGATCCTTCCCAAATTGATCCTTCCCAAATTGAACCTTCACAAATTCACCCTTCCCAAATGGATCCTTCTCAAAGGAATCCTCTCAAAATTGACTCTTCCCAAATGGACCCTTCTGAAATGAATCCTTCCAAATTGATCCTTCCCAAATTCACCCTTCCCAAATTGATCCTTCCCAAAGGAATCCTTCCCAAATTGACTCTTCTCAAATTGATCCTTCCCAAACTGATCTTTCTCAAAGGAATCCTCTCAAAATTGACTCTTCTCAAAGGGACCCTGCTGAAATTAATCCTTCCCAAACAGATCCTTCCCAAAGGAATTCTTCCCAAATTAATTCTTCCCAAATAGACCCTTCTGAAGTTAATCCTTCCCAACTTCACCGTTCCCAAATTGATCCTTCCCAAAGGAATCCTTCCCAAATGGACCCTTTCTGAAATTAATCCTTCCCAAACAGACCCTTCCCAAATTAATCCTTCCCAAATTGATCCTTCTCAAAGGAATTCTTCCCAAATTGACTCTTCCCAAATAGACCCTTCTGAAACTAATCCTTCCCAAATTGATCCTTCCCAAATCCAGCTTTCCCAAATTGATCCTTCCCAAATGGACCCTTCTGAAATTAATCCTTCCCACCTTCACCGTTCCCAAATTGATCCTTCCCAAAGGGACCCTGCTGAAATGAATCCTTCCCAAACGGATCCTTCCCAAATCCACCCTTCCCAAATGGATCCTTCCCAAAGGAATTCTTCCCAAATTGACTCTTCCCAAATGGACCCTTCTGAAATTAGTCCTTCCCAAATTGATCCTTCCCAAATTCCCCTTTCTCAAAGGAATCCTTCCCAAATTCCCGGGCTCTGCCCAGCGGGTCCGGGGTGTCCGGAGGGGCTGAAGCACCGGCAGATTTCCTGAGGAAACGGGATGGGAATGGGAGCACGGGAATCTCCACCAACACTCCCATGGGGCTGGGAGCACCCAGAGTTTGGGAGTGCTTGGGAAGGGCAGCATCGACCTTCGGGGAGATTTGTGGGATTTGGTAGGATCCAAGGGAGGATTCCAGGCAGGATTCAGCCTTTCCTGCCTTTTCTCGCAGGGATGAAACCCAAACTCTGGTCTTGTACCCGGAGCTGCTCACCCAGACCCACACACCTTCCTGCTCCCTCTGCTGGATCCCATCCCAAATCCTTCCCTGTGCTGGATCCCATCCCAAATCCTTCCTTCTGCTGGATCCCATCCCAAATCCTTCCCACTGCTGGATCCTCTCCAGCTGATCCCAAATCCTTCCCACTGCTGGATCCTCTCCAGCTGATCCCAAATCCTTCCCACTGCTGGATCCCATCCAGCTGATCCCAAATCCTTCCCTCTGCTGGATCCCATCCCAAATCCTTCCCTCTGCTGGATCCCATCCAGCTGATCCCAAATCCTTCCCTCTGCTGGATCCCAACCAGGCGATCCCAAATCCTTCCTTCTGCTAGATCCCATCCTGCCCATCCCAAATCCTTCCCACTGCTGGATCCCATCCCAAATCCTTCCCTCTGCTGGATCCCATCCCAAATCCTTCCCTCTGCTGGATCCCATCCAGCTGATCCCAAATCCTTCCCTCTGCTGGATCCCATCCAGCTAATCCCAAATCCTTCCCACTGCTGGATCCCATCCCAAATCCTTCCCTCTGCTGGATCCCAATCAGGCGATCCCAAATCCTTCCCTCTGCTGGATCCCATCCCAAATCCTTCCCTCTGCTGGATCCCATCCAGCTGATCCCAAATCCTTCCCTCTGCTGGATCCCATCCCAAATCCTTCCCTCTGCTGGATCCCATCCAGCTGATCCCAAATCCTTCCCACTGCTGGATCCTCTCCAGCTGATCCCAAATCCTTCCCTCTGCTGGATCCCATCCAGCTGATCCCAAATCCTACCCCCAGGCATCCAGCTCTTCCCTGGCCTGCAGGAATCCCCCTCATCCTCCTTTTCCTCCTCCACTCCAAGTTTTTTTTCCCACTTTTTTCCCTCCCATCAGAGCAAACCAGAGGCTGAATTCCATCCTGGGATCGAGGAGGATCCAGCCCCACCTGCTGAGGGACAGATTCCAAAATTACATTCCCAGGATTTAGGGAACACCCCCACGTGCACATCCACGGGGTTTTTCTGGGAAAACCGAGGCCCTTCCCCAAACCCCAGCCCCAGCTCCGTGATCTCCGTGTCATTCCCATGGGTTTTTCCATCCATTCCCTTCCCGACCAGTTTTTATGGATTTTTCCCAGGAACAGCCTCATTTTCTGCTTTCCTCAGATGATCCCAACCCTCCACTGAACCCAAGCAAGGTTTAGGACAGATCAGGAATGTCCAAGGGGACCAAACTATCATTCCCAAGGAGCTGTTCCCACATCCTAAATCTGGATAAAATCTGAAAATTCCTTTTTCCGGCCTCTGGGACACCTCACGTCCACAAATTCCTTGATTTTGTCTGTTTTGCATGGAAAATAAAACCATTGTCCACCTGCAATGGGATTGGTGTTACTGGTGACTTCAATCCTGGCTTTATCCCTTCTCCCACAGCTTCTCCAGGTCTTCAGGACATCCCT